AAGCTCTTTAGGCGCAAGTAGACTGCGTATGTTCGTTTGGCTGGAAGATAGAATTTTACTTTGTAACGTGTTAAAACGTCTTAACTTATGGTGGATAGATGCACTTTTATGATGGATAGATGCACTTTTATGATGGATAGAGGCACTTTTATGATGGATAGATGCACTTTTATGATGGATAGATGCACTTTTATGATAGATAGATGCACTTTTATGATGGATAGATGCACTTTTATGATGGATAGAGGCACTTTTATGATGGATAGATGCACTTTTATGATGGATAGAGGCACTTTTATGATATAGATGCACTTTTATGATGGATAGATGCTTTTATGATGGACAGAGGCACTTTTATGATGGATAGATGGAATTTTTTTTTAAACCTTTATTTAACTAGGAAAGTCACATTGAGGTTAAAACCTCTTTTGCAAGTGAGACCTAGTCAAGACAGTGGTCAGATAGCAGGATTTAAACAAATTACAAACAATAATAAGAAACCAATCACATCATCATGTTGTATCATTAGATACAACAAAGACACAACAAAACAAATCTCCATGACAACATGTTATACAACACCATGACACAACAAAACGCAAACATTTAGGTACTACATAATGCCCTACATACTACTATTCACAGAAGCAAACAATATTAAATCATAAATTTAATAAAAAGTTAAGTGGTACTGGCATTGGCATAGCAACTACAGTTAATAGTGACCACCTCCTTTATTCGATATTTAAAATCATTTAAAGAAATGAGGGATTTTAGTTTAAGTTTGGACTGCAAATCGTTCCAAGACCAAGGGCCATAATAGAACAGACTTAGCTTTCCAGCCTCTGTTCTGATAGCAGGGACTTTGAACTGAAGCCATTTATGTGACCTGAGATTGTGACCGCTTTGAAATGATGAAAATTTCCTGTTTAAATAATTTGGAATTTTTCGTAAAATGACCTTATAAATTAAAATATACCAGTGTTCGAGCCTGCGCAAATGAAGAGATGACCATCCTAATAAATTGTACAATACACAATGATGTGTCCTAAAACTACAGTTAGTGACATATCTGAGTGCTGAATGATAGAGGGGGTCAAGTTTGGACAGAGTGGACAGAGAGGCAAACCTGTAAATGGTGTCTCCATAATCAATCTGGGATAAAAAAAGACCATTAACTAAGCGTTTACGTGAAGCCAAGGAGAAACAAGACTTTAGCCTATACAGAAAGCCCAATGTGAATTTTAATTTCTTTGCAAGATGATCAACATGGCATTTAAAATTTAGGCTTTTGTCCATCCAGATTCCCAGATATTTATAATTATCTACAGACTGGATACAGACTTCATCCAGTGACGTGATGGATAGGGATGGTAGTTTTGTACGCCCAGTATTAAAAACCATGACTTTAGTTTTGTGTGGGTTTAAAAGCAGCTTTAAATCTAATAAAGCATGTTGCAGGGTATCAAAATCTGCCTGCACTTTAGAAAAGGCCAACTCAGCTGTGGGGGCACAAGAGTACAGAACTGTATCGTCTGCATACAGATGATACTTACAAAATTTAAGCTTGTCACAAATATTATTAATATAAAGTAGGAAAAGCAAGGGTCCCAAAACTGAACCTTGTGGAACACCCTTTGTAACAGGAACTGGATTTGACATATCATTACCATGTTTGACCATTTGCGAACGATTGGTCAAATAGCTATAGAACCATTTGACTGCATTGCGACCAATACCAGCTCTCATCAGGGTATTAACAAGTAATGAATGGTCCACAGTATCAAACGCCTTTGTAAGGTCTATGAACAGAGAAACACAGGTAAATTTATTATCTATAGCCTCTTTGAAATCATCCGTGACTTTTAAAGTGGCAGTTATTGCACTATGCCCTGACCGGAACCCGGATTGCATTTCATTTAAAATGTTATGCGAGTGCAAATATAATTTAAGTTGAATAGCAACTAATGATTCCAATATTTTTGAAAGAACAGGAAGATTAGAGATCGGTCTAAAGTTGTTCATATCATATCGATCACCAGCTTTGAAAAGGGGTGTAATATATGCTTGCTTCCATTTGACTGGAACCTGGTTAGAATTTAGTGACATGTTAAAAATGTGAGTAATAGGCTCAGCTATGACCGGTGCAGCCACCTTTAACAGGAAGGGATCCAGACCATCAGGTCCAGGCGCTTTTTTAGGGTCTATTGAGGTCAGTGATTGCAGAACATCTTGAACTTGTATGGCTTCAAAATCAAATGAGAAAGGATGATGGATAGATGATGGATAGATGCACTTTTATGATGGATAGAGGCACTTTTTTATGATGGATAGATGCACTTTTATGATGGATAGATGCACTTTTATGATGGATAGAGGCACTTTTTTATGATGGATAGATGCACTTTTATGATGGATAGAGGCACTTTTATGATGGATAGATGCACTTTTATGATGGATAGAGGCACTTTTTTATGATGGATAGATGCACTTTTATGATGGATAGATGCACTTTTATGATGGAAAGAGGCACTTTTATGATGGATAGAGGCACTTTTATGATGGATAGAGGCACTTTTATGATGGATAGATGCACTTTTATGATGGATAGATGTACTTTTATGATGGATAGATGCACTTTTATGGACTTCAAAACATAAAACGGTCATTCACTGACATTATAAAGCTTGGAAGAGCCAGGATATTTTTTAATATAACTCTAATTGGATTTTTCTGAAAGAAGAATGTCATATACACCTAGGATGACTTGAGAGTGAGTAAATCATGGGTTAATTTTCATTTTTGGGTGAACTATCCCAAGCCATTATTTTAATGATGTACCATAATAAATTGCTGTTGGATTACGTCTATAAATTCTGCTCAGGATCAGTGTATCACAAGAGGATATGGGTTAGCTTTATAGACTATGACATGTTGCAGAACCTGTCCACATGACTGCAACTTCTAATCAACAATTAAACCTTGAGCTTCATGTCAACGGGCTTGTCAAACGTAAGTAATGGTTTTTGTAATAGGTGATTAACCTTAAGGAACTAGGTTGCGTTCAAATTTAATCACATCTAACCATGTCACGGAAGTCCACAATAAGCACAAATTCCTCATCAAAACACATAATTGCAAAATGCAGCGTTCCATGCACATGTAAGAGCTGCAGCCCATCTAAGAAAAAGTTGAGTTACTGAAGCGGGAAGCAGAGGAGGAGAGAACACCGAGTCATCATTAGAGTAAAGAAGAATAAGCTCACTTAATACACGGCTCACTGGATACTTGATTCTGATTAGTCAATCTGCAGTCAAGTCATTTTTCCATATGAAATATTTTATAATATATGAATATATATTAAATATACAGTTTGCTCAAATATAATTAGCAGCTTTATGCTGCACATTCAGCTGATCATTATTGCAAAATAAACTCAGTCAGTGTAGTCTTATATCACCCATAGCATCAAAGCTATATTTAATAACAATAATTTATATTAAATTTCTTTTAGGTGGCTAAAGAGTCTGACGGCATATGTATTCTTACAGGAATGAAAGTCTGTTAAAGCAAACAGACAGCTTAGAAAAGCGAGAGGAAAGGCAAACAGAGTTTTCAGGGTTGTGAACTTATCCATGCGAGTGAGAGTGAAGGATTTACCTGAGGTTGTTTGTTCAAGAGTCTCAAACGCTGTGTAGATCGAGAAGAGGGAGACAAAAGGAAAAGTGCGACAGCGCAAGCAGCTGAGAGAAGTTCTTCAGGCAAAATACTCAAATGTAACAAATAAAACCTATTTTAAACCTTGTTTAGATGCTTGTCTAATTGTCTAATTCTTGGTAGGAAGTACAATGAAAAGAGCTCGAAATTGGTATGCTTGTGGCATTTTGTGTGGGATCTGTTGAAGAAATTTCTGAGAAAGAAACGAGTGAGAAAATAGAACATTCATGTGGTTTTATTTTCAGACACACTAGACCAAATTGGTGATGTTTGATGAACTCTTATCTAGAATATTTAGTAAAGTACACAGTAGTACTACCGTTCAAAAGTTTCGTTTTTTTTAAAGGATCCCCAGAAGTGACAAAAAAGTATACAAAAATCCATTCCAAATAAATGTTGTTCTTTTGAACTTTCTATGAATCAAAGAATCCTGTAAATTATTATTATTATTAAGCAGCACAGCTGTTTTAAACATTGAAAATCATTTTAAAAAAAAACGTTTCTTGAGCAGCAAATAAGCATATTATAATGATTTCTGAAGGATCATGTGACACTTAAGACTGGATTCAGCGTTGCTATCACCAGAATAAATTACTTGAAAAAATATATTCCAATAGAAAACAGCCATTTTAAGTTGTAATAACACTTCACAACATTACTGTTTGCTGTATTTTGATCAAACAAATGCAGCCTTGTGAGTATAAGAGACTTCTTTTAAAAACATTAAAATAAAAAACTTTTGAGCGGAACTTTTGTTGCTACTAGCATGACCAACAAGAATAATTACTGTTTTCAAAAAGGTTTGCCATTGGCTGGTCAAACAGATAGCCCCGCGCCAAACTCAAGCCATTGGTTGAGCCACTGTTGCAATGTGTGGAAGCTCAAACAAACAGAAGTAATGCTTTGAAATTGCCACAGAGACATAGTGTTTACACGTTTCGGTGTAATCAACCAACAAATGGCTTACTCACAGTTGTCTCTACATATCACTCATGTAACACACTTCATCTTTAAATATACTTTGAACAAACTGTCATTTTCCTGAATGTTAATCAGTAGTATAGTTACTCTCACACATACCACATACTGCCTGACACATGACCTCTAGTCCTGTGAATGCCGTACGGCACGTCCTCAGCCAGAGGACGTTCACAGAGAGTCCTAAAAGGTCAACAGTTGCCCCACTCTCAGCAAGTGTTCTTTGACATTTACAGCGCTCGATCGCATCAGTAATATCAGCCAGTAGTGTTCGTAACTCTCCCTCTAAATCTCTTCCCGCATAGGTGAGGCGGCCTTTACGAAAGACAACAACTGCCTGAACGCCGCCAAGGCCTGCAACCTGAATGACACGTGTAAGAAGTATCGCTCCTTCTACATCAGCCCCTGCACCAGTCGAGTCTCGACTACTGAGGTGTGTAACAAGCGCAAGTGCCACAAGGCCCTGCGGCAGTTCTTCGACAAGGTCCCACCGAAGCACAGCTACGGCATGCTTTACTGCTCCTGCCCCTCCGGGGATCACTCGGCTTGCTCCGAGCGCAGGCGTCAGACCATCGTGCCAGCCTGCTCATACGAGGACAAGGAAAAACCCAACTGTCTCTCCTTGCAAGCCTCCTGCAAGACCAACTACATCTGCAGGTAGGATGGAAGACAGCTTGTTTTACACGTCAAGGAGGAAAGTGCTTGAATGTTCACTATACTTTTCAGCGAGTTCATTATTAATCCATAGAATGGGGTAGATGGTGTCTGAGAAAAGAGAGGACGATAGTCATAAGACTGCCGGACTGTCACTTGTGTGCTGAGTTTGTTTAATGAGGAGATATATTCTGTGGACTCTTGTTCATTACTGCATGTAATTTTTTTTTTTTAGATCTCGTTTAGCTGACTTTCTCAGCAACTGTCAACCTGAGGCGCGCTCCATTTCAGGATGTCTGAAGGAAAACTATGCAGACTGTCTGCTGGCATATTCAGGTCTCATTGGTAAGTTCAGGAACATTTACTGTGTCTTACCCCTTACAAAAATGTATTGTGGCATTACAGTGTTATGGTGCAGTGATGGTGTCTAACACTAGAGTATATCTTTTTTTTTTATTACCATAGTGTTTTTTTTTTAATGACACTACATTTTTTTAACAAGCCATGGTGAAAAAAACAAAAAAATGTGGGGCTGTTTTTTTAAGTGATCATCATCCACACAACAGCCCTATGAGGTTACTGTTACACTAAAATAACTTTAATATTAATAACATTACTGCATTATTTTAAGCTTAACATATCACTTGGTAATTTAGAGATATCATGCAACTTTGATGTATACATTTGCATATACATTTCCAAAAATATTTGTTTATTGGGTCACACTTAAAAATGTATGAATGTCATTGCATTAGATACAAATTTTAAGGCAAGTTTTATTTATTTTAATAAAATATAGGTCAAGCACAGTTAAAGCGAAACATTTCACAAAAAGTTTGTTTGGTTTTAAATGATAAAACAAAGCTATAGAATACTGTTCAAAAGTGTTTTATTCTTTATTTTTATAGAAATCGCTTATGCTCACCATTTATTTGATCAAAAATAAAGTAAAAACAGTATATTGTGAAATATTACATTTTCTATTTGAATATATTTCAAATGTAATCTATTCCTGTGATACAAAGCTGAATTTTCAGCATCATAACTCAAGTCTTCAGTGTCACATGATCCTTCAGAAATCATTCTAATATGCTGATTTGGTGTTTAAGAAACATTTTTTATTATAATCAATGTTGTCAATAGTTGTGCTGCTTAATGTTTTTGTGGAAACTGTGATACATTTTTTCAGGATTCTTTGATAAATAGATGCTAATTTTTGAAGATGCCACTTGGTTTAATATTTTCCATCCAATGGAATGACTTTCATATACTTCTAAGTGTCCAAATGTGTGGGGCGACTGTATATTTCGCTTTTGAAAGTACATGATCTACTGATCTGTGACATGTTGTCTTTGGTTTCAACACAAATGACCTTTGCATTTTGACCCTTGGAATATGTACCAGGTACGGTGATGACCCCTAACTACCTCCGTGCCCCTGGCATCAGCGTGTCTCCTTGGTGTGACTGTAGCAACAGCGGAAACGGAAAAGCAGAGTGTGACAAGTTTACCGAGCTTTTCACCAACAACCGTTGTCTCCGTGAGTAGACTTCATTCACAGCTGCTGCTGCTGCTGCGTCTACTCTATATCATTGGTTACATGGCGTTATGCTCTGACTGACAGAATTTGCCCATCAACACTGACTCTAAAGTTGAATTCTGCTCCGTTGCGTCTTCATGGACATTCACAGTCTGCACCAGTAAATCTGATCTCTGCGATTTGTGTTGCTGTGCGGTTCAGGGCAGTCTGATGGCCGAGAGACAGAGAAATCCCTCTTAAATGGGGCGGCTGAGAGGGGGGATTGACATAAAAAGGCAATAAAGCATTACTCAGGTGTCCATGGGCCTGGAAGAGTACGGAAAGCATGCATTATTTTGTCAGGGAGTTATTCAAAAACATCCATTTAGATAGATGAACTGAATACAGGGAGCTAGACAGAGAGCAGATGAGATGGAGGATTTGTCTACATGAGACAATGGCCTTTAGGATGACAGCCCGGATGATATAGCAGTACCGACACATCCACACCTCATATCTGACACGTCCTCATCTGTGTGTGCTTTTGTGTTTACGTATAGAGAGAGAGAGAGAGAGAGAGAGAGAGAGAGAGAGAGAGAGAGAGAGAGAGAGAGAGAGAGAGAGAGAGAGAGAGAGAGAGAGAGAGAGAGAGAGAGAGAGAGAGAGAGAGAGAGAGAGAGAGAGAGAGAGAGAGAGGGAAAGAGAATAGACTGTCTGCCCAATAAGACGTTATTGAATTCAAACAGCATAAGATAGCATAAGCTAAATGTTTTCTTAGCTCTTTTTAGTTTGTAATGAACATATATGCCATTATTTGTATATGACAGTAGGCCCAGTACTGATAAGATAGTACCAGGTTTATTAGGAAGCATTTACACTGCCAGACCTAATGGACACATCACTTATTTTTTAAATCAATCAAGTTAGTTAGTGTTAAAAGTAGTTAGTGCAGGTACCAATATACCAGTGCTTTTTAGACACCATCAGCATGCATGGGAACAGTTCTGATTCTTAAAGGGATAGTTCACCCAAAAATAACAATTATTTTGTCATTTGTTCACACTCATGTCATTCAAAACCTGATTTTCTGCTTTTCATCTGTGGAACATAAAATAAATATTTTGAAAGAAAATTCAAATTTTAGTTAATGGGGTCCAATGTTGGGGTTCGATCTTTTTGTGTGTGTGTTCCACAGAAGAAAAAAAGTCATATTTGGATCAATGTGACTAAATTATGACAGAATTTTCCTTTTTGGGTGAAGTATCCCTTTAAAAGTAAATCAATGCAAAAAATAGGTAAGCAACTAAGCATCTATTATCATATTAGATTACAAGAAGAAAATCTTTTCTAATAAATCAGTTATAATTAAACCAACGGTCATTTACTTGCCTTGTGAGCCTCTGAATCTGGCCACTCATTTGATGGCCATCTAATGAACCAATAAGAGCAACTCATAGTAACAAAAGATGTGTGAAAGAGAGTGAGAGAAAGAATACTATCTTGTATGATGCAATATGATATGCAATATAAAGATCCTCATACAATCAAAATTACCTCAAAATTACCTCAAATTCGCTCCTGAAAGAATAAACGCTCAATACTCCCTCTCTCTGACCTCTCGGCTTTCAATACTCGGCTTTCAATACAATAAACGCTCAATACTCCCTCTCTCTGATTTCTCGGCTTTCTGATATCGGCATCACTGGTTCCGCTCTTTCCTGGCTCATTTCTTACATCAGTGACAGAAAGTACTATATCAGCATACAAGGGTATAGTTCTGCCACTGCTTCACTTACACAAGGTGTTCCTCAAGGTTCAGTTCTTGGCCCACTATTGTTCATCATCTATATATATCCACTTGGTGACATCATACGCAGGCATGGACTTCAATTTCACTCACTCACTGCATGTATCAGGGACATCAAGCATTGGATGTCTCTTAATTTCCTCAAATTAAATGATAAAAAAATCAGATATTAGTGATTGGCTCTACTGCCTCAGTCAAAAGGATGGACCAGTCCTTTGATATTGATGGAATTCATGTTAAGCCTTGGTCATTGATTCGTAACCTTGGTGTCTTATTCGACTCAACTCTATCTTTTGGCTCTCATATTTCTTCTCTTGTTAAAAACTCTTTTTTCCATCTCCGTAATATTGCTCGTCTACGATCTTCTCTCACTATAGCTGATGCTGAAACCTTAATTCATGCATTAGTCACATCACGTCTGGATTATTGCAATGCTTTATTTCTTGGTCTGCCCAAAAAACTCATTACAGTATGTTCAAAACTCAGCAGCAAGAGTTCTCACCTCCACCAGGCGGTCTGCTCACATTACTCCTCTGCTTCATGACCTTCACTGGCTACCCGCGGCATCACGTATTCACTTCAAGGTCTTGCTTCTAACGTTTAAGTTATTAAATGGTCTTGCACCCCCATATCTGTCTGATCTACTTAACACTTACCGCCCCTTAGATCAGCTGAACTTGGTTTATTGTCCATCCCTAGTTTCCAGTTATCTACCGTAGGTGGAAGGTCATTTGGTATTAATGCTCCGAAATTATGGAATTCACTACCCCTTACACTTCGAAATATCACATCTGTGGCTACATTCAAGACTCAGTTAAAAACATCTATTTAACATGTATTTCGTATAATGTGACTGTATGTATCCTTTGTGACTGTAATGTGTGTGCGGGTGTGTAAATGTATTGTAATGTACAACGTAAAGCAACCTTGAGCTACGGAAAGGCGCTATATAAATAAAACTTCTTCTTCTTCCCTCTTTTGCTCAGACAGATGAAAGTCTGCTAAAACAGAATGTACAACTGATGTCAATAGTCTGCCTTGTCTCTGACCCAAGATCTCCCCAGGGTCATATTATATAATCTGACAACATCTAAAAAATCTGTCCTCTAAGCCTTTAAATCTATATAATATCTACAGTTATGCTTTGAATACACATTCATTCTTATGAGAGCAATGCAATCTTAAAGGGATAGTTCCAAACCTGTACGAATTTCTTTCTTCTGCTGAACACAAAAGAATATATTTTGAAGAATGTCGATAACCAGACAGTTAATGGGCCCCATTGACTTCCATAGTATTTTTTTTTTTATGGAAGTCAATGGGGCCCCTCAAATATTTGGTTATTGACATTCAGCAGAAGAAAGAAATTCATAAAGGTTTGGAACAACTTGAGGGTGAGTAAATGATAATAGAATTGTCATTTTTGGGTGAACTGTAACTATAGCAATAACTAATGGAGAATGTAGAATGAGGCTTTATGAATCTTTAACCCTTAAGACACAGAGTCAGCTTGCAAGCCTGGCCTTAAGAGAATCTCAACACTCGCTCAATAATAAGGCCAGCTCTTCTCTGTTAATAGATGGTACTTAATACACAAGCAGTACTCATCAATAATCTCCCACTTGCCCTTTAGCCTGCTGTGGCGTGAGGTAAATAACAGACTCTGAAGACAAAAGTGCTCTTGAGAATAAAGTCATTTAAAAAAGACAGTTGAGTCATAATGGCCTCCCTCATTTTATCACTGGAAAGGTCCCAGAAACTTCAGAGTAAGTGGAGGTCTTCCTGCACTTCCACACTGAGGCTAAGTGCCTCTTTATCAGAATTCATCTGCTACAGTGTTAAGAAATTAAAAAAGAAGCTCTTATTTCAAAAACGTTCCAGATAGCGGCATGTCGGTGTCGACTCTATTTTAAGCAGGGTGAGAATGACTATTGAAAATTCAGTTTGAACAGTGTTGTTATTAACATAAATAAATAACAACACATCCTACCTTTATAACATATAAAGTAATAAATAAATAAATAAATAAATAATATTTAAAATAAATAATATTAGATGAAGAACTTCAACTAAAACTTCTTTTATTTCACATTTCTCACAAGTTTGTTTTTAAGTTTATATATTATATTATATATGCAATGAAATCTCAATGTTGTGGGAAAATTAAAAATCGAATCCGATCTGTGTTGATTTATATTAAAATGATGCATTTAGTTTTGAGGGAAACATTTGTTTTTTTATAAATCAGGGAATAAATAGGCACAATTAGTCAAAATTGATGATACAATCATTTATAGCCATTGTAAAACATTGCATTAAAAATGTAATTTGTAACTGTTAAATTTCCTCTTCCTATCCCTTCCTATCATTATCAACCCCTCAAAAAAACAAAACAAAAAAACACCCTAATTTTATTTCCTGTGAGGTGTGGTTAATTAAATTCAACTTCCAACTCACTATTTGAAGAAAAAAAAAAGCCAATACTTATTTAACTAAAACTTTCATCTTCATTCCTGCATTATACAGGCAATGCCATCCAGGCGTTTGGTAATGGCACAGATGTTGGTGTGTGGCAACCCCAGCCACCCATCATGTCCACTCCACCTGACCCTTACACTCCACAAAGAGGACGGGACAGGACGTCCAACACACTGGATGACCCATCACACACCAATGAGCTGGACAGTAATGCGGACCATCTATACAGCTTCTGTGGAAGCCTGCAGGTATTGAAAACAAGCAGCACACTATATTTACTGACAGAAATTCAGTGAAATGTACATCCTAGTTTCTGAAGGTCATTAGAAATAAAGTTGATTAGGAAAGTAAGTGCGGTGGAAATGGCAGTGTAAAATGTCTCCTGGACAGCCAATCTCTTTTTTTCTCGGATCGCCTTTTAAACCACCATATTGACTATCTCTGATGGTGAATGACAGCTGTCAGTCAGACACATGTTGCCGCTGGCTCACTCAGATGGTTAAAGATGCACAGCCTACATCAACTTTATAAACAGCTGGCAGCTTGTTTGGATGCTTTCAGGCTTTGCTTAGCATACGATGACTTTCCTTTTTCGAGACTCGGAGTGTGATGAAGGTTTACTTTTGATTGATGGGTGTGGGCTGTTGCAGTGATAACACACACATAGGGCCTCTGGGTAGAAAAGAGATACATCAAACTGCCAGAGCTGTCATGTCAGAGCTAATTGGCTGGCACATTAACATGAGGAACACCCTTAAGCAGGATATACCCACCTATTACAGTCTCTCTGAGGGAAACATATCTTCACATATCATCTGTGCATCGAACTTCAAGACTGGCATGTCTCTAAAACAGTCTATGGGGCAAGTGTACTGTACAGCAACACGGTAAAATCAAAGTATAACCTTCACTTTTTAATGCACTATTATTCTTAGGCATTTTTGCTGTTCTCTTTGTACCTTAGCTAAAAAAAGAAAAAGAAATATAATAATCAATACCAAAATCCAAAGAGAAAAAAAACACACACAAAATGCACTCCGTTAAACATAATAATTGTATTATTTAATAATAATATTATTAGACCAAAAACATTTAACGGTGCATCTTCAGAAAAACTGCATTCATCTGGGCTTTTTTTTTCATAGTTAATATTTTATTTTTAGGAAGTTAGTTAAGCATGGTTGTGTTTTTTATTGGGTTTAAAGAACTTATAAAGCTCCACCTAAATTTTTTTTTTCCAATTTTTCATCTTATCAAACTGAATTGTTCATGTTAATGCTGTCAAAAATACAAGCTTCATATTGTATCCCTCTAAAACACATTTTTTTCACTTATTTTATTTAATACAGATGCTGTTGATAAAGCTCAACTTATATTTAATTTGGATTTTTTTTTTGCAGTTCATAATAGAGTCCAAATACAGATACTCTCCTGCAGATATAGCACAACAATTCATCATATTGGAGTAATAACAATATCATGATTTATTAGTAGACAAAGTTTCTTTTGTCAGATAGACTTCCAGGAAGGCTATTAATCATTCTATCCCACAATGCTTTTCGCAAGAATTAGCTCAATTCTCTCTCCATTGTGCGGCACCTTTATTATATTCCAGATTCTCTAGAGAATCACTTCATCGTTCCAACAAACCAACCTGTGTGTGTGTGTGCATGTGGGAAACGGGATAGCAGAGCAGTCTCAACTGGGTATTAAAATATATTGGTGTGTCACATATTAATGCAGACACACTGCCCTCCTGCACACAATGAAACACACACACACACACACACACAGCACATTGATTGGAAAGACCTGGGCCTTAGAGAGTGCTCTTTGGCTACAGCGCTGTATACGAGTCGTGTTTGTGTGTGCGGCTGTAGGTCTCATTATCATAACGTTACATCTCTCTCAGAGGCCAATACCGTATGACCTCTATTTGCCGTGGTGAGTTACAGTGCTTTATTGAAGTTGTGCTTGACTTAGATCGCGCTGGACTCGGTTTAAAGGGTTAATGGATGGAAATGCTTCAGTCTGGGAAATGGTTTATAACACAAAACCTTGAAGAGCTTCTTGCAAGTAATTGACTTTCAGCCTGTATTTCAGCTGGCCTCTTTCTCTCTTTCTTTATAGGCTCAGAAACTGAAAAGTAATGCTACTCTGGATGTTCTTTGCGTGGTAAGAACTACATTTCTACTCACATAGGATTTTCCAATGAGTTGGGGCCTTTTCATGCGATGCATTCTGGGCGTTTTTTGTCTATATAATCATGTGGACGTTGTTGACCATTGTAATTATAGAGATTGCAATTAGTTTTTTGTTTTTTTTGCGTCCTAATACATATCAAGCTGTTTTAGAATGCAAGACATGCTTTGTGTGAACAGACCTTATGATTCCATTTCATATAGAGGTATGCCAAGATATGAAAGCCAGTTTCCACCTCAGAATAAAACAGATTATGAGGTACAGTTGAGAATAAGAAATAACTTTTACATTGTAAGATATGTAAAGTCCCAAATTATGAGAAATACAGTCACAATTACAAGATATTCAACAATATTTGATTTGACTGACACTATTGGACGAGCTGGATGATGGCATCAATGTTTTATGCAGGACTGCTTTATAGTTCAAATGAACTAATTTATTAAATGATGATCTGTACAACATAACTGAATCAATACTAAACTAACTTCAGCTGAACAATGACACCATTTTCTTTAGAGCTAAAGAATTTTTTTGCATCATTTACCTGAAACAATCTGTATTTTATAAAGCTCTATTTAAATAAAGGTTACTTAAGGACTTGACTTGATATGAAGTTGCAATTATGAGACAATTTTGTAGATTTTACATCTTGTTATTGTGACTATTATTCGTAATTGCGACTATCTTACGTACACCTGCGACCTGCAGTTGTAAGATAATCGCAATGATCACAAATAAAGTCTGAATTGTGAGATATAAAATCACAATTGTGAGATATAAAGTTGTGATTTTAAGAAATACAGAGATGTGTGACCTTTTCTCATAGTTATAACTTAATTTTTTACTCTGAAGTGGAAATGGGCTTCCATGCTATGCACATTATGAAAAAACCTGCGAAATGCTTCAACAAGAACAGAGTGGCTAAAACATGAAAACATGACTTTCTCCACAGGATCCGCAGCTGAATGACCCCAGTAGGTTTAATGCAATCTCTCGGAGCTCGACTAGTGCTGTCTGCCTGATGGACTGGACTGTTCTCTTGCTGTCTCTGGTCTCATTCCTTGGGCATCTCACAGCCTCACAGACATTATAGCCGCTCGCCGATCAGACCTGATGGACTGCTGCTGCTGCCGCCGCCTCTGTACCATACAAAAATGTTGTATTTTGAGTTGTTTTTTCCGCAAGTGGTTCTTCTGTGCGCGGTGTGGTGTTTCGCTGTGATGAAACTATTCTTGATCCACCTGCTTTTTTTCATCACTTATCGGAGATAACGGACAAACACGGACATACTGTATTTGCGCATCAGAGGAAGGTCATCTAGGATTACTTCTGTTGCGAAAACTTTCTGCAAACAGGTGTCGCCCAAACCATTTTTTCTACCATCACAGCAAGATCTGGTTGAAAATACAAAGATGCATGGAGACCCCAGAACCACTTCTGACAATTAAAGATTGATGAAGCTTCTGCGTACTAGGGTGCTGCAGATGATCATGTATTTTCTCTGAGCGGATGCCACAGGAAAGCCTGCAGACTCCAACTAATACTTGAACAGTGTCAAGCAATGCACAGTATTTTTGAAGGCTTATCAGCAAAACTTGCTGCTCCTGTCCCTTATTAGGACCTACAAACTCCATTCTCCCTCAAAGTGGCAGTGCCCCAGCTTAGATGATACGGTATGGGAAATGAACATCAGGATAGATACGACACTTTATCATGGCAAAACACAGGCGCTTTTTTTTTTTTTTTTTTTCTGGATCCATTTTAGTTACCTTCCTCTCCAGTTAAACACACTGTAAGGATGAGAGCTTAGCACCAATTTGCTTATTTTGGGACTTTTTTGGGTGGGACTTGCCATTATCCTGGATATTTACTTGTAAATACCATCTTTGTTTACAATTACCACATTCTGCTTCTCAAAGTTTATTTCTAATCTAGCTATTGTATCACCTCTGTTGTGTGAAATATGACTTTAGTTTTAGTGATGAAATTCAGAAGTAACTACGAGGGTTGATACCACAGTCCAGTATATGTCAAATGTGCTGTATGTACATTCAGTGAGAACGGTTTCTTTCGCTCATCTAAAAGAAGTGCTTTCCAAGTATCATTTCTGCATTGTTGTTGTACTGGTTAGCTGTAAAAAGAAAATATATATATAAACGTATATAGATCAGGGCTGTAAGACATGCAAGAGCAAAGAGAAACTTACATTAAACAAACTAAAGATGGCCATTTAACTTCTGTCTTATTTTTCTTTCTTTTTTTTCGTTTTAAGTTAGATGCATAAGAAAATGTGTGAACTAGAACAGGTTTTCAATAGTGTAAATTCTATCACACACACACGCATGCACACACACACACGCACACGTGCATTAAATTGATCAAAAGTGAAAGTAAATACAATGTCAAAAAAGATTTCTATTTCATATTAATTATGCACTGAAGACTGGAGTAATGGCTGCTGAAAGTTCAGCTTTGCCATAAAATATTATTTCAAAATATGACAACAGAAAATGATATTTTTAATTTCAATATTTCACAATATAGCTGTTTTTGCTGTATTTTGGATCAATATTTTAATTTTTTTTAAATATGTTTAGGAAGAGGAATCATCTTAGGGGATCATCATATTAGGAGGGTTGTGGCATCAAAAAAAGTGTTAAAACCCCTGAGTTTGCTGTCAGTGTCAGTAAATGTGTAAAGACTATAATTGAAACGCTCTTGGATTCTCATTACCAAAATAGAACATAAACTGAATGACTGCCTCTATGGATTAGCCCCATTCGATTCACTGTGCCAGTGTGTCTTTCACATGCCAAAATAGTCATATGTTTTACACTTTGCAACATTAAACTCGACACATGAACAGAAAGCCATAAAAAGCTCTCGTGGTTTAGTGAAATGCTGTCGGTTTGACTGATGACTCAAAAGTCACTAACCATAGCAGTCCTTAAAAAATTGACAAAAAGCAGCAAAACAGAACATGGGTTAGTGGCATCAAAGTACAATTTTATGTTAACATGAGTTAATGCATTAGCTAAAGTTAGTTAATGCATTAGCATAAAGTAACATTTGTATATTAACAATACTTTTGCAGTACTTTTTAATTTTATCTAATGTTAATGTCTATATATACAAACACATTTTGTACAATTCAAGTTGCAAGTTAACAAATTAAAGTGCCCCAATTGTGCTTTTTCAGATATAATACCTTTCATGTAGTGTGTAATAGCTCTTTATGAATGTGAGTGTAAAAGTTTCAAAGACCAAAGTGCACAACAAATGGAGTTGTCGTCTCCCAAAACAACAAACTGATTCTGAACTGCCTGAAATAAGTTGTCAGTAATTCCAGTGTTACTTCCATAATTTGTATTCCTTTGCATAATACTATATGGTCTTTTTATTGGCTGCTCACAAACATTGTCTATTTTGACCCGCCCTCAAACACTGTAGTTGTAGCTGAGGCCGGGAAGTGTTGTCAACATCAAGTCAAGATGACACTGTTTTATGTGCTGTGAAAACAAATCCACTTTGTTTCAAGAACAGAGCGTTCTTGCAAAGGATGAGGACTCCGACTCGAATTGATACGGTAAAACTGACGCCATCGTAACTTTTCATATCACTGTGTATACAAGCGCTGAGGAAGCCTCCAGAGCTGAAATTCAGATATGGTAATGGCCGTTTGGTTTTAGACACGAACTATAAGAGGTCGACCAATCACAACAGACTTGGCCATCTGATCAATCAGAGAAGAGTAAGCTCTCAGAAAGGAGGGGTTTAAAGCGACCAAATCCTTTATCGAGACACTGAGAGAAAAGATGTGATGCCTCTTTATCCCTGAGTATATTATAATGAAATTAAAGTTTTTTTTTTTTTACCTTGCATGTAAACCTATTGTAGAAGAACTTCAAAACAAAACTAGGAACCTTTAAAATAGCATAATATGGGAACTTTAATGTATTAGGAAACAAACACAAATTGACAATGAGGTTACACTTTATTTCGATAGTCAACTTCAGACATTTTACTAACTACAAGAAACTTTGCAACTACGTCAACTAACTCTCATTAATTTGCAACATCGATTCAACTAACGCTCATTAGAGTATTAGTAGACTGTTAGGGTGTGGGTTAGTAAAATAAGTTGACATGAACTTGCAAAGTTACTTAGAGTCAGAAGAATGTCTGTTGGGGGAACAGAGAGTCTTCTATTACTCTAATGTCAGGTAGTTGACGTAAAACGTCTCAGGTTACGACTGTAACCATAGTTCCCTGAGAAAGGGAACGAGACGATGCGTCAACGACGCTTTGCGTTCCCAAAGCGTCGTTGATGCATCGCGAGTTCCCTCGAAAGGGAACGTCTCAGGTTACGACTGTAACCATAGTTCCCTGAGAAAGGGAACGAGACGTCAACGACGCTTTGGGAACGCAAAGCGTCGTTGACGCATCGCGAGTTCCCTCGAAAGGGAACTGCATTTATAGTTAGTAGAATGTCTAATGTGGACAATCAAAATAAAGTGTTACCGACAATGAACAATAGCCTAGTATAAATTAGAATTAAGCGAATTAACTAACAGAAGAGGTGCAGAAGCCAGTGCAGTTACCTGACTATTCTTGGCCATCTTATCAGGCTGGATTAACTTTCACTCCTAGCAGGCAGGATTAAGCGATAATGGGGACATGATTGTCAGTCGGATCACATCAGTCCACTCTCTCCCCAGGACAATTACACACAAGGACGCAACCCAGTTCACCTAGCACTCACTCAACATGCTGTACCAGGACGTGGTGTTTCTTAACACCAGACACCGCTTCAGACATGATGATTGAACATGTGTCCAAAAGATTGGTCGAGGATTTATTAGCGGTGTCACATTGGGAAAAAAGTGAATTTATAAGAAATATGCATGGTATGAAACAAGGAACGCTGAGAGGCAAGATTTAATAATCACTCAAGCGGAGCGTCGGTGGCTGTGGCGTCTGTTTGAAAGAAAGGGATCACAGCGCGCCATTGTAATTGCGAAGTATCGCAGATTTGCATCAAGCACAATATGAGCTGTGAAGCAGGAATGAAAAGCAAATAACACGGTATCAAATAAATGAGTTTTATGAGCCGGGTGTCTGGCCTGTCTCAGATAATTTTGGAATAAGAAAGCCAGGCTGATTAAAAAATACCTTAGAATAGGTCCTTTGTGCACAACAAGCACAGCCACACGCTAACCTCAGTGAAAGAGTAAAATAATTGTGTTACTCAAATAAAAGAGAGGCACAGAACATATGGAACAATGTAATCAGTGTGTACTGTCTGCTGTCAGAGAGGAACTCGTATCTAATTACCTCACCCTTGACCTTGGGGCCTGCAACGTTGCTCTTTTTTTCTGAGAACATCATTTGAAAAATTCTTTTGCCATTGCACAGTCCTACTTCTAAGCTTATGTCTAGACATTTATTTTATTTGTGGTAAATTTCAGGGTTTCAGTGGCTGTTTGTTATTGATTTCCTTCGAAGCTACAGAAGGGCACAGGTAATACAGTAGGTTAGTGATTTGACTCATTGATAAACATCAAAAAGATGCGAGACCTCAAAGTCCTGCACACTAAAACTAGAATACAAGACAGACAGACAGACAGACAGACAGACAGATAGAAGTGTAGGATATTCAATGATAATTGTGACCTTAACAAACCTGATCTAAAGTAATGGTGAAATATAACTTGTTTTTAATGCATTTCATGTTGTTTCCTAAGATGTGTGCTCATCTCTTTTGATCTCTGAACTCTGACCTCTAGAATGAGGATTATTGTCTAATGTCTGTGGTTACTGTGGTCTTGTTTCATAAGTGAGGGCGGAAAGGTGAAAGGGCAGACCTATGCCCAGCATGGAGAAAACATGCTGTACATGACTATTGAGCATGGGCCATTACATAGCTTGAAAGCAAAGTGAAGACGGAAGTGGGCAGAGAGACACTGAGATGGGACTCATACAGCTGAGGGGAAGCCGAAGATAGGAGGCTCTTTGTTATTACCCAAGGCAATTAGGCATAATGTCTGGTTTCTGCAGTCTTCAGTGCCATATGCCTGCTTTCTTTAAAGGGGTCTTGAATATAGAAAGACAAGCATCAGCTTTGTGACCAGATGAGCTCTGTCTGTGTAATTTGCAATCAAGCAGAAAACATTACCCGACATCAGAAGGGAAATAATGCCATAGGGTGACAATTCAGAGGGAGTATTCACGTCTTCTGCAGGGTCAGCAGCATTTGAGACATACAATTTCAGAAAGGGTTTGTGTCTGCTGATTATTTCAAAAGTTCAAATAAAAAGGCATTGAAACTAGCCACAGGAAAACAAGGTGGAACAAAAGACTGCAAAGAGCCATGCACACATGCCATCCTGCACAGAAGATAGTTTTCCTGAAAAAGAGAGAAAAGAAATATCCAAGGAAAACACGGATTATATACGTACATATTTCACTTGTGAGAAAAC